GAGCGCCTTACTAAAATGCCATAAAATACTGAAAAAGTGAGATATTTTTAAAAAAAATATGCATATTTGCATTCAGAAAGAGTCCTGCTATTAAAATTTACCAAAAAGTCAATTTGTAGAAATTTGACCTTAAGGGCCCTTTCCTCATGATGACAGTCCATTATCTTAACCTGTTAAGTTAACAAAATTTAGAATTGCAACAAAAATCAGCTGATTATCTACTAGCACAGCACAGCCAAATATTGGTCGGAAAACAATAAATTATTAGACAATTTTAAAGTGTAAGTGCCTATTCTTTTGTAAAATTTGATTAATTAACACTAGCTAGATAAGAAGTTTCACAAATTATGTCACATACCAAAATGCAGCTCATTTTCTTTCATCACTGTGAAAAAAGCTCGAAAAACAGGGATTTCTTAGAAAATTGCAATGATCAAAATTGAAGAATTTAAATGTATGTATGCAGGATGTAATTAAATTTCTTGTAATAAAAATTGTATATGTATTATGCAAATTGAAAATATTTCATCAACTGTAAAATATTCGTGACAAACATAACATATTCTTCCTTCAAACTTGTAATTTAATCAACTTTCCTTTATAGCACAATTTCATTGATTTGAAAATTGTTAATTCATCTTATTAATATTATTTTCACTACACGTATTTTAAATTATGAAACTGACACTATTTAACCTGGACTCTCTCAATCGTCTTATGGTCAGAGACAGGAATCTCCTTCCTCTAACACATAATCCCTTTCTTGTATGCGGATGGGATAAAAGAATGTATTTTTCCATTCTTTTATATTATATCCAAAACCATATCCCTTAGAAAACTTGTGTTTTTCCGTCATTAACCTGAAGAATTGAGACATTTATTTGATGATTTAATTTTAAAAATTGTCACAGTTGATTTTTTTCAATTACTCTAATGTACCAACCTGAGAGGTAGCAGTCACAGAGCAGTCCCGGGAACTGCTTTCTGGGACTGCACTGGGACTGCAAAAGCAGTCCCAGAGCAGTCCCACAGCGGTTCAAGCAGTCCCAGCGGTCCCAAAAAGCAGTCCCAGCAGTCCCAGCAAGCAGTCCCAGTAGACGGGGTTAATAATTTAATGGGCGGAGCTTAGTCATAACTGAGATTACACGGTGTATCAACAAACAATGTCAGTAATATAAAGAAAGTTGAAATTTAATGACAGACTTTTTTGGGGGAAGAAAAAGTGTTAGACATGTAACATGTACAGCATATTTACAATTCTTATGTGACAATTATTTCTGAATAATTCACAAAATTACAGTATATATAAGAAAAAAAAATAATAATAGAAGAAAAGAGGTTTTCACACTAAATACACTGTAATTACATCCGTAGCATATTAATTTGAAACCAAATTAAACCATTGTTTATTAAATTTTATTTATTGATATTGGTTACCATATATATTTTTATAGAAAATTAATCATGTGCTAAATAAAATTAATGGCTTATTTTTAGACTAGAATTAAATGACTTTAAAATAAATAGATCCTACAATTATAGAGCAAGGCCGATTCCCATATTACTCCGTATATTACGTTTTTATTGACGTAGAATCTTGAGAGAATATATATGCGTATCATGAATTATCTGATGACAGTTAATTCTTCATCAAATTTTGCTTACAAATATATTTTGGCTATCATTTTCATTGATATATAATGATTGTAAGAATCTTTACGCAACGTAAAACAATGTCACTTAAATATTTCCCGAGCCCTTACATCAGTGTGCATGTGTACACATGTAAGTCATGAAAGTGATATTTTTAGAAATTAGATAATCCTGAAATACATTTATACCACTTTTATTAAAACAGTCTGAAGAACGAAACAGATTCTATAAGATTGTTGAACAGCATGGTCAGTGATGTGTAACACTGATACACAAATAACACGCGTGGACTGCCTGCTATTTATGCCATCATGTTAATAGTTTGAAGAAATAATAATTCTTGCAATTTCTGCCCTCTTAGATGTATGTCTACAGGTGAAAAGTGCACAATTCTGCATAAGTAAGGGAAGTTGACGATTGATAAGTTAGTCATCACGTTCATCATAAAACTTTGTTGTTAGGTTACCATTAACGTCTTTTTCTAGTAAAATATCCAAATATGAAACATATGTGTCAGAGTCTATGGTATATCTATATCTATATCTATATATATATATTGTCAATCAGAACCTCAAGCATCTTTTAATATCAATCCCAATATAAGTAAAAATTCTCAAATGTGCGTTAAACAAACAAATAAACAAAACTATACGTTGTACATGTAACACACGTGATCCCAAAGAAAGTTTAAGATAAAATCATCTGTGTCAGTCTAATATAATCAAGGACGATCAAATAATAATACAAGTAATGAATTTCCATAGATTATCTTCATTAATGACGAAAATCAGTGTCACGTATAGATAGATAATACTATTGCCTCAATCTGTCTAACTTTCCAAATATCCTTCACCATTTTAGAAGTTATATCAGATTGAAAGAAGCTGTGCATATAGATTTTTTTTGTCTATACTTCCTCAAGTCTCTTTGTTTTTAATTATATTTTTTTTAAGTTCTTGGTTCAATTTTGTTTTGTGTTTCCTCTGCTTTCTACCATAGTTAAGTGTTATGGAACAAAGATGTTTTACATTTATCAAAAAAACATTCAAGAGAGCACTTAATTAAAGTAGAAACTTGAGAATGTCTACATTTTCTCTCGTGATATGGAATCTACAATGAAAGCTGCTATAGGCACGTTTATAAAGGTGAGAGGTATTTCTTATATTTCAGTGAAATTATTTCGAAGGAAATCCGTCACATTTATGTAAATTCGTCTGTTTCATAAAGCAGAGTTCGTCGCTGTTGAAAAAGAATCCCAATGGCGTTGAGATCAAAGTCAGCAGTAACTGATGAAAACTTGGCTGAAAAATTTGGCAGAGTAGTGTAGCCGATATATAAAAATGTATTGTTAACGATATCGGGATTCATTAGAATAAGTTAAATGACCAAACACCCCAGCTTACGGAAAATAGGAGCACCATAGATTCCTTATCAATTATTACCAGAATATATGTCAAGGTGTTCGAAATTTGATTTAATTGTTAGAAATAATTTTAAACATACAAGTAAAACTTCTCTTTTATATGAAGAACTAGAATGTAGGAATTCGAGAACATGAACTATATCAATTCCAAATTCAAAGTTAATTAACTTTTATTTATTGTAGTAATATTATAATTAGTAACTATAGTTAACTTAAGTGTTTTTAGGAGTAAAGAAGACACTTGAAGTAGAAAGTTATTCAATTTTTACAATAATAGAAAATGGTCGAGGAAAAAAAACGAGTTGCAATCAGTTATCCGAGTGATTATAGGCACCTTATGGGTGGAGACACAAAAGACCAGCTCGACAGACAGACAGACAGACGCGTATCCACGTTATTGAAGCCTGTGCATGGCTCTTGTAGCTCAACTGGACTAAGGTCCTTCACACTTACAATGAACACAACATATATATATTTGAGGAAAATAATTGGGATTTACAGTCAGTAAATCATTTAGAAAAGACAAAATATGTCCAAATATAGGAATGAAAAATAACCTTTAAAATATCTACTATATTTACAATGAATTAAAATTATGCATTTTCTTTGGATTGATAAATGTTAATCAATTAATGCAAGTGTAAAAAAATGTCCTGAAAGGACAATGCTTCAAAAGATTAAAAAAATAAATGTATGCATAGAAAAAATTATTATGATTTTTTGTAATTGTAACTACATTACACATGACTTTTTTTTAGCATCTAAACACATTTTTGTATTAAAAAAAATCGATCGTGATATGCAAATCTAATGAATTCAGAAATACATAAAAATATATAATTATGAATTAAAAATCATTAAGAATTCTAGATAGAAAATTTCAAAACTTACATTCTACTGACGCCTAGAAGTCGAAATGTTTGTCATCAAAGAATTGTTTTGGCTTGGATTTTTCTATTTGATGGATTTGAATTTGGATTCAATTCAAAATGCACTATTTATTTTATTTTTTTTTAGAAATGAAAATAGATTTCAATTTTAATTTATTTTACAGTTCTGTTATAAATATTATATAATATTTTCTTACTTTACCCAAGACTAAAACAATTTCAAGACTAAACCTTTTCCCTCTTATTTGTAAACTAAAATAAAATACTTTTCTTTTGGACAATAAACGAGCCGCATCATTGCTGCTTACGCAAAAGGATTTAATTTTTAAACCATATAATATACTCTCAAAATGTATATTTAAAAAAACACGGAAACTTCATTTCCTCGACCGATGCAGCATATATATCCCCATACATCGCAAAACATCGATGTAAGGCCGTTGACATTTGTTTAAAATTTAAACAGAAATTGCATTTATTTTCAACTAATGGCTTAAATGAATCATATATTGCATTTATTTTCAACTAATGGTTAATTGAATTAAATTTCAATTCAGATCTGATAACAAAATTTAAATCTGAAGAAAATCGACATTATGTGTTCTTGATGGGAAAGTTCTGAATAGATTTCTCCAAAATACCCATGTTTCCCCTCCCCAGTAAGACCATAGCTCATCTTTCAAACAAACTGAAGAATACTTTTCATTGTTTCTTGTCCTATCAATTACAATTTAAAAAACAAAAGCGTGTACACATGGACATAATTATTCAGATTATTATTAAGGGGGATAATTTTTGATTGCTTTGTTTTACATTTTATTCCCAGAAATTAATAATTATAACGTTGATTTTTGATATGGAAAAACTAACGAGAAAATAATTTTATTGAGAAAGGATCAAGTCTTGTATAAAATGGCACTGAAAAGACGAAGTTTAAAATAATTTTTGTTTGCCCTCTCCCGATTAAATGTCGAAAAATTTGGGTCAGTGGGTAATGGGAAGTCTTCTTTACAGAAAAAAATCAACATAACTGCTCCATTTTCAAAATTTATTTTCCGGAATACATTATGGAAGTATATTTTTTTTTGTCTGACCAGTTTTAGCCAGTCCGTCGAAAGATGGTAACAAAACAATTGATGACCTCAATTACAATATATAATAACAAGACGTCTGTGAGCCAATGCTCACTAATAATACATGTACCCCAGCTCTGATGTGAATATACAAGTTCAGTTATAGACAGACACAGTGATAATCAGGAAGTGGACATTGGATCATTACAAAATTGAATCCCAACATATGGCATCCTTAAACAAAGGGTGTGCTAAAATTTCAAGCATCTGTGATGAGTAGTTGCCGAGAAAACTGCGACCAAAATTTGTTATGTATGGTACTGGCAGATGCACGGATAAACAGGAAGTTGACATCGGCTTCGTACAAAAATGAATCCCACCGTATGACATGCCTAAACAAAGAGTGTGCCCAAATTTCAAGCATCTGCGATGAGTAATTGCTGAGAAAACTGCGACCAAAATTTGTTACGGACAGACACATAGACAGCTAGACAGACGGACGGACGGACAGACAGACAGACAGACACACAATGGTAAAACAATAGACCCCCTCTCCTTCGGAGCGGGGGTATAATAGTCATAATTCAATTAAAAAATAGCTGTTTTTCTAATAGCACTTCTTTTTTCCCTAGTCCTTTTCCATTTCGGGGACATCATCAACGGATGTTCAGACAATTTTTCCTCTAATGGGGTACCTTGAATTCTTTCACAGAAAATTTTGATCAATGCCGTGTTTACTGCTACAGTGAATGGTTCTTGTTTCGATGTCGTAGGCCGAAGCAGCTGAAGTAATGCATCCATATTGCAAAATCGTATCATTTTTTCAGGGTGTGCATCAAAGCACACATGAAATGCGCATATATACAGAAAATTATGCCAAAATACACGGACTGTTTGGCAAGAAGCGCCTTCAACATTTTTTGCAACATTGCCGTTACTTATGTTTGCCGCCCACATTGGAGTAAGTTCAGATTTTTTAATAGATTTAGTGTATTTCTGTACCTTTTTGTTGTTTTCAAAACAAGTTTGCGCTACATTAAACTCACGAGCAACTTCTTCTTTGAAATCGTGTTGGTCGTAATATCCGTTATTTACAAGGTATAGAAGACATTGGAAGAGCTCTGTATCGTTGGATTTTATATCATGAATGTGTTTTTTCATTGCTTTTAAGGGGCTTGTGTCCTTGATTAGGAATTGTTCTATCATGCTGTGGTCAATATCCATCAAATTAACAATCAAAGGAATCCCTGTATGCTTGCAGGATATATTTTCAATATTTCTAAGTGCTAGAGACTTACATTTACATGTATTATTACAACAATTGGCCTTTATCGATTCAAGTTTCTGGGCAACCTTTCTCTGTCTAAATTTTGAGAAGGTATCAAGTAATAATGTTTCATTATCATTAAAATTAATTTTGTGATTCTCAAGATCTTCCTTTATCTCAGTTCGAATTCCTAGAACAAATTTGATATTGAAAGGAACAGTTTCGCAGCAAGAAATTATTTGTTCAAGGTTCTTTATTGTAATCTGCATCTCGCTAGGATTGGTATTCCACAATCCACACCAACCATCTATAAAATTTACAGTCTCTGGAGGAAAATCATTAGGAATATCCAGGTAATTGTAATAATAGGGATCAATGTTGTGTGTCTGCGCAAATGCTTTTACAATATCTTTTCCAGTTGTAGATAAGGAGTTACCAAGTTTTCCGAAAAGGCAGAGCAGATTTTTTGAGGTTAGGACATTAACTCCACCGGCAACAAATTCATCTAATAAAAACAATATAAGTATATTCATATGTTTGCATAAATTTACTTATTCATTGTATGTAGAATAAGTATAAAAATTCATTTGCTTAATATAAAACATTCATATACCCTATTTACGTATCAAAGAGTTCAGATTTTTGTTTAATTCGATTGTTTGTTTGTATTTTTTTTTTTTTTTTTTTTTGGTTAAATTCAAAGGTATGCCAATTATTTTTGTTGATATTTCTAAAAGGGGGTCAGGTTTGTAAACAAGTTATTGTAAATTATTTTTATTATTACCTCCTTAAGAGAAAAGCTTCAATTACTTTAGATATGTAAAGAAAAATTACAAACAGACTGTACTGATGCAAAAAATGAAAGCAGTTGCAAACTTTCAACGCGCTAATTATAAATCATTGGCTTTATGTCAAGTTATAATGCCTATTATTTCTGCAGAGAATACTGGATGGCACAATGATGGACTTTATAATACATGTACATGTGTAATTTGAAGTATTGAACACTTTATGGCTTTGACTTGCATATTTCGCATATTGATTACAAAACTCTGACTTTTCAATTACTTAAATGCTGATTTTTAGAACATGGGAAAGGGAATATATTAATATCTGTTAGAAATGGTAAAAAAAAAATCATTACATGTAATTATAAGAATTAAGACAATATTTTAACATATTTCTTTTGAAAAGTCATCAAGGACAAATTATTCTACAATAAAAGTAATAAAACAGGACCCCTTGTTATAATGTACTCTTTCAAACAGAACTATGAATATCTTTTCTTTTGTTTGGGCCGATAATAATTTAATACCTGATTGGGTCAAGTCTTAAAATACAAATTGCGAGACTACTACTTCTATGGAAATTCCCATTTCCAGTATATCGTATAACAATAGACTTATCAATGCTATATCTATATTCTATTTAACACTTCCACCAAAAGGTAAACATTTTTCTTGTAAAATTTAAAAGAGTAACATCAAACCCCTTCAGCCGCAAAAGTAAGTCCCCACCAAGCAATACACACACACACACGAACATACAAAAACGAAATAACGATTTGAATGCTATGAATGATTTTTTTTTAAGTCAAAGTACAAATATTTTTTTTTTGTTTGATTAAAACACCATTTGCTGAAATACATATTTTTTTCTTACTTGTTTCTTCATCTTCTTCAATATCTGCAGTATAATTAATCAGCTCATTATTCTCTTCTACGTTACTGCCTGTATCAAAATAACAATGAGAAATATCTCATGATCTCCTGTCCATTTATAAATATATTCATATAGAAATAAATTGACTAGCTATTTAGAAAAAATAGTTCTATAATGGTTTTTTCCGAATATATTTTTTTTCTGCTACATGCATCTATACATAAGAATGAAGCAGTTTTCATCGCGAAAGAGAACATATGGAGAGCAATAATCAATGTGAATTTTGGTTCTTTATATATGAAAAAAAATATTATCTAAAGTTTCGTGTTTTGTTGTCAAACCTATGTGTAAATGTATTAAAAGTAACAGCAACAGTACCAAGACGTATCTAAAATCATTTTAAATACCTTGCTTTTCTTACATTGAACTGCCTTCTTTGATCTTTCAGACAAGCTGGGGAAAATAATTTTCAATTTTTTTCCCGAGCTTGCCGTAAATGACTATGATGCTATTGCAACAAAATAGTACCATATTAGAATATTTTAAACTAAGTGTTCATTGGCATTACTAATCTCTTATTTTTCACCTCAGAAATGAAATTACAGTAAAGTACAGAATGTTTGAAGCACAATCATTGCCCTTGTGAATCCCAATCTAGATTCATCATTCCACATTGAGACACCTCTAACATTAGCCCAACTGCATCACTGTGACTTTCCAGTGGTACAGATAACTACCTCTGTGTAAGCAAAATATACAATAACATAGCCAGCCACTCAATATGTTAAATTTTGCATGCGAAAAGTGGATTGCTTTTAAATTTTTAGATCTTACATGTACGCCTCCATTTGGCGATGACGATTATTACGATGATGAATATGAGTGCCGATAGTCCAATTCCCAGAGCAAGTCCCAGTCCAAGCTTTAGACTACTTTTGTTTTCCCCCAGTCTTTAGAATAAAAATAATTATATAATCAAAAGATAATGAACTTGTTTGAAACATTTCAAAATTCTGTAACAATTTTATGTTACTTTTGGTGCGAATATTTAGATGGAAGTATTACACCAAACAACCTCTCTTATGAGCGACAAGTTGTGTCTAAGAAAAGATTGTTAAAATCTATAATGGAACAGTAAACCAAGTCTTTCTTTTACGTCCAAGGAAGGTACATTAAAAAGATGAAGAAGATGCGTTTGTGAAACATTGATGCTCCCATTTGGCAGCTTATGGCAAATGTTAAAGTTTCTCAAATGAAAGTCAAATCCAAAACCAAGGTCAAGAGATGAAAAATACTGTTACCCGAAGAAAAGACCTGTCTCAGTGAAAATATCTGTGAATATTTAAAAGCCCAAGCACCAACCGTTCAAAAGTTATGCCAAAGGATATTTTTTTTAAAAAGTTGGTCCAACTCTAAGGTTAAGGTCAAGGGATCAAAATCAATGGTACCGAGGGGAAGGTTTTGTCACAAAAAAATAAACAGACGGAATATAAAAGCCGTAGCACCAACTGTACAAAAGTTATGGCCAATGTTCAAAATTTTCAAAAGAAGGTCAAACTCTAAGGTCAAAAGGTAAAAAATTTTTGGTATCTTGAGATAGGTATTGTCAAAAGAAATATATACTTGTGAAATATGCCACAAGAAATATGAAAGCCCAGGTACTAGCTTTTAAAAAAAAAAGATTTAAGATTTAAAAAAAAAGAGTGAAACTCTAAGGTCAAGGTCAAAATTCAAATATATTTATACCCAAGAAAAGATAATTTCATAGAAAATGCACGTGTAAGGTATAAAAGCCCGAACACCAGCTGTTCAAAAGTTAATGCCAAACCTTAAGGGGTTTTTTTTAGTGTGACCTTGAGTTTGACCCATTTTTGTAAAAAAAAAATTATAAACCTGACAATAACTTTTGAATGGTTAATGCTTAGGCTTTCATATTTCGCAGTTATATTGATTGATACAAGTACTTTCTTTGTGTAACACCGTTTTTAATCTGTTGACCTTGGCCTTGGATTTCGACATGCAATTGAGAAACTTAAATAATTATTCGCTGTAAGTTGTCATTAAGGAACATCAGTGATTCAAAAACACATCTTGTTTCTTTGGAAAAATATTTTTTAAGTATTGTTTCTATGTTTTCTCTTTAAAAGTTTAATTTCTTACTGAAGTGCCATCCTTTACCCTAAGGGGGATGGTTGAGGAATCTTGCATGTACCCTATGTTGTGAAGCATTCGCATCAGATTATTTTTTGGCCGATTGTTAATGAGAAGACTGTTTAAATGGTTATTTTTTTTTTTTTTCGTTTTTTGCTTATTTCTTACTTGAAGTTGACATGGTTTTCATTTGGACAGATCTTAATTGCCTTTACCTAAACACGTGGCAAGTTAGATTGACCTTAATCCATTGTTGTAGAAGTTAAATCTTAACAGAGGGACATACATGCAAAGGACGAAATGTAATAAAAAATCTCGCTTAAAATTTCTAAAATTTGTTTCAGTGAGCCAAAATTATTTCAGTCATCCGACACAAAAATCAAAACATTGTACTAACTCTAACTTTTAAATATTAATGATGAATAAAATAAAATCAAATCAAATGAAAACGTAGTAAATGATTACAACTTTTAAAATAAGCGTCCTGCCAAAAATGTCATTGTTCCTTTCATGATTGCTAAAGAATAAAAGAAAAATAATGAATTTATTTAGTCAAAAATCGTTAAGATCACATGAAGATAAAAAAGAATGGAATTAATATGAGTACTTTTAAAAAGGAGTATACATGTAAAGATTATATAATTGTTATTTCTTTTAATGTATTTGACCCCATCTCTGATGTTCGTTCACTACATATTCATGTGCTCAATAAGAGACATTAAACTTTATAAGAAATCAAAAACTGGTTCCATATCTCTTACCTTGATTGTATATTGCTTGTATCATCAATAGAACCATAGCATACAGGATCTGCAAATGATATCCTTTTTATAACCGTTTGATTGCGCTTGTAAAAAAGATTATACGTGCACGTGCATGGTCAGGATTTGAATAAAAATAGATTATCTGTTTACTTACATTTGTAGACCTGATCACTGTGGTAGGTACTATTTGGACAGCCTGTGATATTGCAAGCTTTCCAGAATATGTATCCTGTGTTTGTGAATGCTGGACAGAATCCTGAATATATCCAAAAACAATGGTACTTGTAACCTTGAAACATTTATATGTTGAAATGTAAAAAAAAATTCGAGATAAACTCAAATTGGTACATCCCGTAAGATTGTATTTGTTCAAAATGCCTTTTTATTACTTTTACTCTCAAAGTTCATTTAAATTATTTCTTTAAAAAGGAAAAAAAAAACATTAACTGTGTTACTGCAATTCTGATCATTTTATTTCAATCCGATTTACCTGCCACTAGCGTAGTCTTTTCTATGCATTTTTCTTTTCTTGATAATTCGTCCTCCATAAGGAAGCAATGGTAAACATCTTCTCCCTGACAGGAGAATATTTTGGATCTTTCAACCCATTCTGCTTCATTGGCTGGGCATTTAAGAGGGGCTGAATATATACCTACATGTATGGAATTTCATTTAAAATTGACAAAATAATTTAATGTTAGTATACATGCAAAATTAACAACAACCCACCCCTTCTACTTTTGGTTAAAATATCACTGGTTAAAAAAATGTTTATTTATGTAATCTATGAAATGGAGAGATACAAGTCTATTCGTATTTTAGACTAATATGGTGCAAGAATCTGCTTCTAGCATATATGCGAATAAGAAAGTTTCAGCGTTAATTAGAGGATTTATAATTGCATGCAATGTATTCCCGATATGAGATATTACAAAACATGGTAATAAAGTAAATTATCTTAGTACATTCTGTATTAGACCGTATAAGCAGAGGTTCCGTGTCACAGTAGGTACTGGGACTAAAAGATCCCTTACTGCTCAATGTCCCTTAGTGCTGAGTTTAGGTTTAAATTTGGAGCTCTCCAGCAGCAAGTGGTGGCGTCTCAATATGAGCGAAAAATTTTGAAGTGACGTTAAATAAACAAACAAATACTTAACTCGTTTTTTTTTTGTTTTTTTTGTTTTTTTTTTTTCGCAGAACTTTGATTTTACAAATAAGCATCTAGAAAATAAGAAAAGACAATGAAACAGAACATACTTCTTTTAGACAAATCTCCATTTTTTTTTTTTTTTTTTTTTTTTTTTTTTTTTTTTTTTTTTGAAGAAAAAACATACATACAAAGGTTGTCGACAGGAAGATGCATCATATATGAAACAAAAATATAAAATTAGAAAACAAAACTTTGCAGTTCAGATACTGTTGCTTAATGCATGCATGACGATATCCTTCGGAAAGGAAAGAGTGTCACTTCTTATATCTACTTTTACCCCACTTACATTCTTACATATTTCATGCATATGTTTCATAGTCTGAGGCAAAGCATTGCAGAAACCATTTTTAAGGTGAAATCCGATTTCATTATGACTATGTATCTGCAGATTTGAGAACTTTGTGCAGCCTTTTTTGAAAACTAATTTCCAACGGTTGTTACTAAACAATTTATTATACGAGTAGGACAGGATTTTTGATACCTTCACGAGTGAGAAGCACGAGTGAAAATATTAAAAAAAAAAATGTCTAGTCTATCGAGTGAAATAAATCCCACATCCAACTACAAAACATTGAATTTTCTGTTTATAACATTTTTTTTTTATTTTTCCTTTGCCTCTCTCTTTTCTTTACACAGTGTTATAGGTGATGACGTCATAATTGAGTAGTTGAGACCTCATAAAGCTTAGCAGTTGTAAGACTGAAAACATTGTAACATGGATTTTAGCAGCATGTTTGAGAAGAAATTGGTAGTTTTAGTCTCTATCAAGACGATTTACTTAATATCTCTATCTTATGACAGGTCGAAAGTTATTCTTACTTTGAAAAATGTTCACACTGTGACAGGATATCACTTTGGTATCCTTTCACACCGTGAGTGAGAATCACTTTTATTCAATTAATAAATCACAGTATTTCACTGCTGAAAATTAATAAAACATACTTATTGACACAATTTGCCATTCACTTTATAAGAACTGCACGTTTGGTACATAAGTTACCATTTAGAAAAGGAAATAAGGTAGGTATGTTATTATTTACTTAACAGGTAAATAACAGTAACACTTTGGTAAAAATTTTGTCATTAATCAATGATAAGCTATTGATTGGAACATATACAAGTACATGTCCAAGGTTTGAATCAGGACTCTATAATGAGATCATGTGTTATATCAACTCAGTGACACATGTCGTTGGAATGGTATGGGAGGCAGAGAAATATTTGCGCTAATGTCACGAAGTGCTGATTTTGTTTATTATTCATTTTATGTAATATATCCTTTCAGGCGAAAGCAAGTGCATGAACCAACATTTCATTCAAATGTAAAATGTCAATTGACATGCTTCCAATATATTTTTACAGATGAAAAAACGATTTTAAAAATAGATAAATAAGACTTGACAAAAATACATACCGTTAATAAGTAGGATGAAAGTGACCACTCGTGGTGACATCTAGAAAAATTAGCTATGCTTTGATTAATAATTAATACCAAGGCAAAATTAATAAGCATTGACGTTCAAGGTTTATAAATTTAAAAAGCATGATTTTAAAAAGCAGTTTATCATTTACATTATTTAACTCTTCCACTCCCCTTCCCATCTTACTTACCGTTCATAAATTACATATGTGTTTTAAGTGTGTTCCTCCTTCAGTCATAGGCAAGTAAATGTATTCAGGAATTTACCACTACTCTGTGCTGCGTCTAGCGATGCACTTTTCTTATATAACTGCTGTTAAAACCTAAAATTAGATTACAGTTCAGCAGAGGATTTTTTATTCGAATATACGAGATTGAAAATGGAAACATGTCACAGATTGCTTAAAAATAGATAGTTAAGGAAATTAACAATCTCGGGCGAAAGCTTAGAAAATGCATCGATGTTTACTGGGTTGCGTAGGGAAAGAATTGAAAACAGATGCTGGGAACAAGTGCATGATAAACTTTTCACTGCTGATACGAAGATTAAGAACTCGTTTATAAGATGCTGGTTTGGTCAAGAATGAGGATGTAACCAATCAAAGAGGTTTTGGCAAGGGATCAGAGGTCATGCTTCTGTATAAATCATCTGCAAGGAATAAAGAGTAGAGATTATGCAAAAGGTTTGACATGAATTTTAAAAAGCAATTAAAAATTGAGAGTGTTTAAGGATGTAAAAATGTCAATTTAAATTTGTATCAAAATTACAAGTCATGATTGCAAATTCTGAAAAAAAAAGATAAAATATGCAGGGCTTGCACAGGGTATAAATATAGCTCAGTGAGACACATCCGACTAGTGGTTAGCTGAATTGTGTCTCTTTCTGGTTGCATTTATACAGGTAAGATATTTTTGTAGACACGCAATTTTTGTAAAATGGTTACAATTTTCAGATGGCTCTGTTTATTTACAGATTAATATATTTCTAATTTAATAGTAATGTTCATTAAAGGTGTATTGTGTACCTTTTGTAATGGTAAATATAAAAAATGGATTGTTAATTTAATAAAGAGTGCTTAGCTGGATTGTGTCTCTTTCTGGCTGCATTTACAAAGGTTGGGTAACGGGGCCACTCCCCATGGCCTGTGGTGCGCTTTGGAAAGGAAGGGAGTTATCCTAGAAGAGTAAATGCAAACTGGAGCGTCATTTTGAGAAATAAAGAAACAAATGAAATAAATTAACGAACTTTGGTCAATCTTTTCAAGTCCAGAGGATTGTAGGAATTGCCCCCCTGTGTCTAAACACCTCTCACATGCCAAAAAAAGTGCACAACGATCCCAAAGTGGACAATCAGATTATTCAGTAACCAGACAAATTACATGAACGATAAAAAAAACTATTCTCATAACAAGTTGTAAATCACACCATTATTTTTTTTTTAATATTACAATGGTATCAAGACTGTCGGAAACATTTGAAATGAGAGGAAGTTATATTTGCAGTTCTTTCTTTCGTTTGTAGGGGATTTATTGTACAGAAAGGCGTGGCAGCCGAGAAAGTGTCTGTAAATGTCTTGTGTCATGGTCATTTGCATAGTCACTCCTTCAAAACCAAAGCAGAACTACGGAACAGAAGGACAGGACAAATACTTCTCTATACTATGCTTGTGCTGTACAATGCCGAAGAAAGACTTTGTCGTGAGGAAGATAATGACATTAATATATGTGAAGAAGAGACCGCTTCTAGGACAATACTCTGTGATGAAACCATTGCCTGTTTATGCGAAATAATAAGAAGAGAAAATAATCTTCAAAAACCATCCTATGTAGATGAGGCGAAAGATCTGTATAAAAGACTAAGACGTTTAACTCGCTTTGAACTTGAAAGCATGGATGTATAACAAAAGCAAATAGCAATATATTCAAGCGCAGATCCAAGATTAAATCCATTTTCTAAACGTGAAAAACACCTATTTCGTGGTGGTGATGGTGGGGTCCACGTTTTCATAACGGGGGGGGGGGGTCAAAAGTCATTTTTTTTTTGCTTTAGTATATGCTTTTTATAGCTCTGCGAAATTCCAATTCCAGGGGGGTCCTGACCCCCCCCCCCCCCACGACCCCTAGATGCGCGCACGGAATGAAAATCACCCTCCTTTCCGCTTCTTTTTTTTTTCTCCGGATCAGGCCAGTATTCAGGGTCTATTTGTACTGCAAAAATGGCAAATGACAGGTTCAGGTCTTTCGGAATCTTGTAACCACTGATTTCCAACTCCACTTTACTCTTTCGATTACTTCTAGCATTTCAAAGAAAGGACACATTTAATTATTATGACATTTTCCGTAAAAAAAAAATCCCCGGACACAAACTTTACAACTTTTTTTGCAACATATGACCTTGTCAAAGGATTAGGATTTTTTTTTTTTTTTGCATCAAATATGAACTTCTACATGTACAATAACGTTACACTTTTATCCCTGTAACACTGACCTTGTTCCAATGACGTTCAAGACACCTCCTCATTCAAATTACTGCACGCAATCTTTGTGTCAACTATGGGCTTCCGCAAGGTCTCTAGCAGAAGCCCTGACAAGGATTTTCAGTTCTGATTCGTTTAAATAAACGTTAACAAAATGTAATTGAATGATTTTCATCAAAACACATGAAATGTCATATGACGTACACCCTTATGACGTGTTTCTCGCCTGTTTCTCACCTGTGTCGAGCACAGGTTTTGAAGGAAATATATGATTGCTACAAACCCTTCAAACTTTAATTTGTTTGAGTGGTGGATTCGGTGGAAAAGGATAGTTTTAAATATTAAATGAACATTTTCAATCAGGTAGAATTTTCAACGTGAATAACACCCCCTCCCCTTTTTTTTAAACAAAAGATAGAATACCTTACAGCAGGTGGGTAAAGCCTCAGAGTTTCATTGAATATCCAGTCCAAGTACTTCAACTTCTGCACTTGTCATATGTCGGAAGGTCCTAGAAAAAAAAGCTGACAAATTTATTTACCTCAAAATTGAAATTGTATTGCAACCTTCATTGCAAAACGACTTCTAGAGTCCTTTTTTTAAGCGTTAGGTTTATAAACCTTGGCCTATTAAATTGTTAAGAACGATTGAATTGGTTACACAGATTAAATAATACACCGTAAGTTTCAATTTATTTTATTTTTAGATCAAACTCTTGTGTGTGAACACCCCTTTCTAAACGTTTATTTCACCAAAGAAAGATAACTCTAAAAATGTTGAAGTTTGTGAGCATTATGTCTGTGAAATATTTATTATATAGTGTTCACAAATGAATTTAAAGAAAATAAAGACGATCATTTTGTAATCCAATTAGAATCAAATTTATCTACTAACTAGCACATTGAATATTACCCAACTCCCTCCCCAATGAAAGCTTGACAAATGTACCCGGTAAAAAATATGCATGAATCATACATAGAAAAATTTATATAAATTTTCTTACGGGCTCGCCGTTGTATCAAATCCCCCAGAGGAAAGAGTGTTGCATTACTCGTCCCTTCATCCTCAGTCAAACCTATCAGAGGCACATCAATGTGGGGCGGGGCGGGGGGGGGGGTACCCCGTAAAGTCTTTCTATCAGAAAGATGGTTGCTTTTGCTTTGAAATACTGTATATAAACTGTGTAAATGTCATTTTTGAGAGAAAATTTATCCTGTACATTGTTGGTATCTTCAAGATGTTTGCGAATCATAAATACTGTACCAGTGATATTGTTGGGGGGGGGGGGGGGTTATCCCGTAAAGTCTTGCTATCATCAAGATGGTTGCTTTTGCTTGGAATTACTGTATATAAACTGCTTCAATATCATTTTTGAGAGGGAATTTACCTTGTAGACTTTTTCTATCTTCAAGATGTTTGCGGATCCTAAATACTGTATCAGTGATATTCTTTAGGGGGATATTAACCCCGTAAATCTTGCTATCATCAAGGCGGCTGCTTTTGCTCTAGAGTACTGTATATAAACACGCTCCGAGTTCACTTCTTCGTTTGTAGAATCCTTCAGATTGTTATATCGTAATACTTTCTATTTCCATTACTGGGACTCATCAAATTAGAGGCGCGTTTGGTCGTCTTACTTGGACAACAATGACGTAACGGAAAATACAATCTCAATCGAATTTTGAATGTTAAATGGATTTTTCATTCCAGTTAAAGAATGGAAGAACTAACATGTGAGATGCGAAAACGCAGAATTTATCATTCATTGATAAACATTGCGGCGTTTCGGAGGCATGTACATTGTATTTAGAGACGAACCGTCAACACTAAGTCTTGTCAACAACGTCCTGTTGTGAAAAAAAAATGACGTTGTTGTTTCTAATGCTTATGTATGTTGAGTCCACAACAATACAGTGTTTCATTTGCATGTTTGTTACGCGTTTTTTTTTTTTTTTTTTTTTTTTTTTTTTTTTTTTTTTTTTTTTTTTTGTCATCGACATTCAACATGCTGTTTACATGTTGTAACCATTGTCCCTGAAATCCCGCAAGATTTGTACATTTTCCGACATTTTCACAAAAGAGCGCACTTAGAACTATAACTTATCCATGGTCGGGATTTTAAATATGTCATCAGTTCAAACCCGATTCAAAATACAAATGGAATACCTGTGTATATATTCCAGGACTTTTTTTTCAATTTTATTTGAGATATTAGTGTATTGTTCACACAGACGAATCACGTAAGCATATATTTCATAAGGAGTGTTAGTGCCTTACGATAAGTATGCCTAGCGCAAGTATGTTTGATGTTCAATTTCAGAATATCGTGTATGGCTAGCATTCTCTACATATAACTTCAAAATTATGTTTTTATTCCTATGCATATTTAGTAAAGAAATAAATATTGGTAAATAAACAAATTATGAAAGAAATTAAATAATAAAAAAAAAAGCTATTAAGGTTTCTTTGTCAATTTATTTTACAATTTTGTCGAACTTACCAAAGGGTGAAGCTTAACTTCATATCACACGGACATCGTTGAACAAGACATAAGCGTAACAAAATCGTGTCATGTTTACATTTTCAGAGAACGGGAAAACTACTCTGCCGTCACACGAAAACTTAAACAAGCGAAATTCAATAAAATACATAAAATTCCTGCTATCAAACACACAAAAATTATTATTGTAATGCCCGCTTCAAAAATCTTGGCTGTGGTCTGTTTTTATGAAATCAAACTGACCGCGTAAATAACGTGTACTTGGTCTCATTGCTCTGAGAATTCATATGTCACTGACGTCACTGATATGTTAGACTGCAGCG